AGGTCGTGTAGAGCTGGGAGATGTCTCCTTTTAATCAGAAATTTGCGCGCTACAATCATGTCTCACTAACAAAGGGTTTTCATTATGTTTCAGAGTTTCTGACAAACTGGTTTTCCAGAAAATCGGATCTTCAAGAGTTATTGGCACGAACCCTTTTAGGCTTTTTACTATCCGATACTCTCTATCGATCGACGTATGAACGATTGAAAAGTGGTGTTACAGTAGAATAGTGTTCCTCGTTAGTCACTATTGTTATGGTTGGATGTTATCTGACGGTTTCTAATATTTTCTGATTAGGCTATTTGTCGAGCAGAAAGATTGAGAAACTAGCATTTATCTAATAAATGCTCTTTCGTCAAAAGACAAAAAACGGCTATCGAGACACAAACTTTCACAAAAATACTAATAATGGGATCTCTCCAGATGTCCAACTTCTACTTCAATGATCTTTTGCCTATAGATACTATAGTGTCCTACCATCTATGAAAATTTTTTGAATGCAACAATGTTCAGTGTTTTCGATGTTGGTTTAAACCGAGAATCGGTTTTTCGGTTCGAAAAGCGAAACTGATACATACCTAGATGGAGCTGCTGAACTTTCTCTGTTCGGATGTAATGGAAAAATTATTCTGCTCTGAGAAAAAACAAAATCGATCTCAAAATGTTGGATTTTGGCCGAGTTATAAAAATTTACCTCCTTGTCCCAAAACTGCATTTTGAATTCGACGATTTCAAATAAAATCGATAAAAGGAAAAAGTTCTATGCCAGCCGCTAGTAATTATGAAAAATTTTAAATATAATCAGTTGATAGAGCTTTCGAGGATTACAAAATGTCTATCTTCTCTTTTTCATATTCCAAAATATGAAGGGCTAAAATTGCAAAGAGTGGTTTTGGGGTTACAAAGTGATCGAGATTGAAGCTTTGCAGTATTTCCTCTATATTCGTTTATTTTTACAGTATATAGAAAAATGTTCAACATTTTATTTTTAGAGAATGAAATGGCAAATCTTTTAAAGGGAAGTTTAAGTCTTTGCGGTCAAAAAACTGAAAAAATTATTTAAAAAATACGGAGAATGTAGTTTCTTCGGAAGCACCCGTTATCGCATTCGTATGATTAAATTTCCTTTTTGTTTTTCCTTAGGCAGTACGAGAGGACCCGGCATATTTTTTATTTTACCTTGTGTTGATACCTTTTCTACTGTTGATATTCGTACGGTATCATTCGATGTACCACCGCAGGAAATTTTGACACGAGACAGTGTAACAGTTGCCGTTGATGCTGTTGTTTATTATCGTGTATTTAATCCAACTATATCAGTGGCCAACGTTGAAAATGCTCAAGAAAGCACACGTTTACTGGCTCAAACATCATTGAGAAATGTATTAGGTACAAGATTATTGTCGGAATTATTGTCTGATCGTGGTGCAGTATCGAATCACATGAGAGAATGTTTAGATGAAACAACAGACCATTGGGGAATTAAAGTAGAACGAGTAAGAAACGAGAATTGTTTATTAGTAGCTTAAAATCTATTTTATTTTATTTAAACAGGTCGAAATTAAAGATGTTCGATTACCAACCATTTTACAACGAATTATGGCAGCTGAAGCAGAAGCAGCAAGAGAAGCTAGAGCAAAAGTAAAAATTTCAACATTTATTCTTGGTATTATCTCACAGTTAGTACTTGACCTTGGAATTCATAGATATTCTTGCATATTGTAAGGCATATGATATTCAAAACTCGAGAAAAAATTTATTTTTGCTATTTTGCCGTTTCCTCTATCAAAACTCAACTTACCGACATAACATTTTCGGAATCAGTGATTAAAAACTCAGTTGAAACATGCGTGTTTCGGAATTTTTAAACTAATTTGTATTTTTCGATTTTTCGCGATTTTCTCAAAAACTGAAAACTCAAGATTTTCATTCGAAATCCAAAATTATCTAGAAATTTCCAAACATACATGTTTCAACGCAGTTTTTAACGCTGATTCCGAAAATGACCTGTCAAAAAGTTGAGTTTTGATAGAGGAAATGGCAAAATACGAGACCAACTTCATGACTTTTCCACTGATTTCGAAAACATTGATTTTTTCAACAACGAAATAAAATTTTCCAAAAAAGATACGCAACCTTTTTCCCATAAGTATGTCGACCAAAATGAAGTAAAACAAAGAATTTTATCTCCTAAATCCTAGCATTAGATGGGTTTGCAAAATTGACCAGCAGCTCCTCCTTTACCATTCTGCTCGTGTTTCGCAGATTCTGAGTCTACTTTGGCTACTTAAGTTCTCAGAACTAGCTTTTCAGACTCAGTTTTGAATGGAAAATATGAAAAAAATGTATTTGGAATTTTAATAGACGACCAGACACGAAAATTTTGCTTATTATTCAAAAATTTCCTCATTTTAATCTGTTTTTAAAAAAACAATATTTTAAAATTTTTTCATCAAAAAAAGTCTTCCGAAAATCTAAAATTAAATTTTTCTAGGTAACTCGATGAGGGTGAGCATGGCTCTTTTTGCTTTTATCCAGTAATTTTAATGAGCTGGGTCGCGTTCTCGTTATCTTTAATAAAATTATTCTATTCGAATAATGAACAGCGGATGAAATTTCATAAAAACGCTTTATATCTTAATCTGAATTATCAGTTTACTTTTACCATTTAGATCATCGTTTCAGAAGGTGAATATAAAGCGTCAAAAGCCCTGAAACAAGCAGCCGATATTTTAGGTCAATCACCGTATGCTATTCAATTACGATATCTTCAAACATTAAGTAATATTGCTGCTGAACAAAATAGCACAATTATTTTTCCTTTACCGATGGAATTCTTACAAATTCTTCGTCCTTCTACAACTGCTGTTTCTTTATCGCGTCCACACACAAATACACCAACACTTGCAACATCAACCGATAAAGATAAAGATAGCAGCGAACTGTTTGATCCAATAAATTCGTCTCTGTTAAGAACAGATTTGCCTCTTGTAAAACCAGCAGATACAATAACCACCATAGCACCAGTTGATTCAAATTCTCTAACAATCACATCGACGTTGAATGAAAAATTAGATTCGCGTAGACAGAGGCGACAAAAACATCGATTAAATGCATTACAAGCAAAAACTCAATACTCTACATCAACAGCTATTTGAAATCAATTTTTGTCTGCTTGGTTCTTTCGTACATATCATAAAAAATATGCTATATACATATATATATACATATATCATCGTTAATCGTGTATTAACGTCTGAGGACAAGAAATCTTTTTAATTAGAATTAATTTTTCTCAGTGAAAAACGTATCAAAGTGATCTCTGTAAGATAATTCATCACTTAGATTTCCAGAGTTCTGATGTAAAGTTTTCCATGCCTGTGATACTCCTCAAGGATTATCGGAAAATGTTTTTTCTCATATCTTGATCAGAACGCAAGAGCTAGATGGAGCTTTGAACATTGATCACGAATATCACATTCAAAATGGGAATTGATGGTTTTACACTCGCGGAGCGGAATTCTGTTGAATCTCACATGCATTTTGCAGATTTTATCCTACCACCAAGAGAGAGTAACATTTTCGTTACTTTAAGAGTAGTCAAAATAAACCGAACTGTTTCTTGTTCATGATATGTTCTATAACATGTTCAGAGTTTATATTTAATGATATTAAAGGTTCGAACACAATGCCTTTGAAGTACGTGACGAACAACATAATCATCAAGCCATGCTGCCAAATTTATACTGAATTTTCATGTCCGATCAAATAGTCATATTTTAAGTCTGATATTAAGAGACTTCGATACTAAAGATAGGTTTACTAGCAGCAGTAAAATAATCATGTAACGATGACTCATTGCTACATATAATATATCTAAAGGTATCATTGTTCATTCAAGTGTTACAGCATTTATACGTACTAATATGATATTCAACGATTCCGATACTAAACGTCGAAAACGGTAAAAATTTGAACTCGTCATAACTCGTTTCTAAAGGTGATTATTTACAAATTGTAATTCGACAATCCCAGCTCAATAAAATGTTTCGTTAAAAATAAAAATGCCTGCAAAATGTCCATTCTGCAGAAAAATGGGAATGAAGAATTGTTGAGTACTGAAGTGAAACTTGTAAGTAAGATCTCAGTTCAACATGAATACCGAAATTTCAAGAAGTTTGAATATTGACTTCTTGTTCCCAGACCTTCGCACTTGTTGAATCATCGTTTTTGTTTTACAACCTTATATAATTGCGCATATATTCATATATACAATGTAACTTGAACTTTTTCTAGCATATACAAAGAATATGAATCTAAAATATGACTAATAAATATTCTTATTCAAGACTGGACAGACTCATCTAATAAGGATCTTGATCGAAGTATATGTATACAGATCGATTACACTCAATGAGATGTAAAGTCAAATATATAGGGAGTTTTTTATTATACGTCAATCAATTTGAAATGAGTTGATATCACTTGAATGCGCATTGTATATATGTATACGCTCAAAACATCAATCTGGTTATCAAATATATTACGTATATGAACATCGCTGTTCTTTTTTTTCTAACTGAATTGTTTTTAAATGAATCTCTTCATTTTCATGCTAATGATCAATTTTTAATAACTTTTAAAGAAAGACAGAGAGAAGAATACTTCATTGAAGTACAAACTTTAAAAATCAATTATGAGATACAGTTTATGTCCACACTACACTGAGTATTTGTCTGTTTCTTTTTACTATTATATAATCATTACTTTATTGTATAGTAATGGTAATACACAGCTCAATGATATTTTACTAATAGTCATTCACATTTAAATTAGATATAAAGGTAGATCTGAGTCTATCTAACTCTGTATCATCCTTTATTACACTAAAGTTTTTGATTACAGCTATCTCAGTGTAAATTTTCGAATAATTAGTGACGCTCTTCATTTTTTGAATAACGAAACAAAAAATGGCATAAAAGAAGTTTACATGGTAAGGCATGATCATATCACATATTCTACCCTGCTCGTCTATAGAGACAATTCTTTATGTTCGTAGTTATTCTGCTTGTCAGTATGTAAAATCGAGAAATGTTTCAAAGAAAGTGGGGATTCGTGGCCACTCTTGAAGATCGGGTTTTCTGGAAAACCAGTAGTTGGGAAACTCTAAAATATAATCCAAACCTTTTCCTAATGAGGTATAATTGTGGCCTGCAAATTTCTGATTAAAATGAGACATCTCCCAGTTCTACACCGCCTTTCTTTGCAAAGTAAGAAAATTTACACGAAAAGCCCTAAATATTCATTTTCAGCTCAAAGCTACAGAAATAAGAAGAAATTAATTCAGGGCTTTTCTTGTAAATTGTATAACTTTGCAAAGAAGGGCCGTGTAGAACTGGGAGATGTCTCATTTTAATCAGAAATTTACACGCCACAATCATGCCTCATTAAGAAAAGGTTTTGGTTATATTTTAGCGTTTCCGAACTACTGATTTTCCAGAAAATCGGGTCTTCAAGAGTGGCCACGAATCCTTTTAGGATATTTACTACCTCACTGAGGTCTATCGATCCATGTACAAAGCATTTGAAACGGAAGTGGCATCTCGGGCGATTCCTTCGTAAGTTTCTTGAAGTTTGTTTGACGCCTTTGGTCCACCAGAGAATTTCTGAAAAACTTTTTTTTTCTATTTTTTCATAAGACGTGGACAAGATGCAGTTTTCTACGTTAATCACAAATATCTGCTTTAAAGTTGAACGAAGCTTGATCTTCATAGAGAAAAACAATTTGTGCTGTATACAATGATATCTTCAGCTCAATTTCAAAAATGTCATGTGCTCTTCATATTAAGCTATTTTTAAAATTGTGATAAGCGTCGGTTATATTGGAAAATGTAGGCTCTTTTAGAACGTGTTAAAAGAAGCCTGTGAGTAATGTTGAAGCGATCGAAAAATCGCAAAACGTGTCTAGATTTTAAGTTGTTTTAGTATTTTTTCAACTATGTCACATCGACAGCGTTAAGCAATGTGAAATTTATACTGCATATGCAGCTTTTATGCTTTGTCAAATGATAAAACTTTAAAAGAGAAAAAATGACGCTTTTTTTCAAGAACTTAGTTTTAAAGGATTCTCAAAAACTTTTCGGTAGTATTACTTAATTTCCTTACTATATCAGCGTCTTAGGGCGAAACAAAAGCAGCATTTGTAATGTGCGCGAATAATGAAGCTCAATGACATATTTTATGTGATTTCCATCACTTCGGTTTTTGACCAAGAAATTCGGTTCCGGTACTCCACGGGAAAATAAAAACAGAATTTTTTCTTATATTTCACTTTTACCTTCTGTTTTTGGCATAAGTTGTCAAAATAAGCCATATTAAGTCGTCACTACATCAGAAAATTCGATTTTAAAAATCTTATTTTATCCACTCTTGTGGAAGGTATGTTTCTGATAAAAAAAATAATTTCTAAACGTTAAGGATTTCTGATCTATTCGCCCTCATCTTTGATTTTGCATGCTTCCCTGTACAAAGTTTAATATTTTCTACAAAATCGAAGGCATCCCGACTCTCAGAGAAAAAACACTCTTCTGCAGAGTTGCAATTCTTTTTGGTTGTCTCGTTCGTAGCTAAAAAACATCTTTTCTTACTTAGGTTTAAAGTTAACGCAGCATTTCAATTAACAAATTTTTCTAGAATTATAACAGGTTTATCACAAGTGTTAACTTGTTTGGTTCTCTAAAACTTTGCTCACGTTTGTCAGAATTTAAAAGAATATAAAGTTTAGTGTAAAAATAGCAGCAGCAGTATTTTTCAGGCATTAGTTTTGTAAAAGATCTTTTATTATGACGAAAACTATGAAAGTTGAAGTAAAAAACATTATCTTATGTTTTATAATTCTTGTACATCTGATATTCACACCTGTTGGTCATGTTCATATAGATAAAACATTGTCCTGGTGCACAGTAGGCATTTTTCCATAGAGCAGGCGGACGTCTGGTTTTATGAGTTAAAAAATGATTATTTTCGCATACTATTGTCTTATTGTGTGTCAAATTTTAACAGAAGTAAGAAAAGTCAAATTCGAAAAATAATTATTTTCCGATGAAAAATCTCTGAGGGAGACTCTTGCCCTGAATTTTTATTTAAAAAACTAATAGGGGATACATCTCTCGATGTAGTTTTTCACGATGATTCCGAATATGTATAATTTGTCTTGATAAAATTGTTTTTAATATAAGAAAACTCAACTTTACCTTAAAAACCAGGCTTTTTTTGGAAAACCTATATCTCCGTCTAGTCATAAAACCGCATGCGCTATAGATGCAAGACACCGAGACGAATGTTTGATGTAAATTTGAACTTTATCAGAGTTTAGGAAAATTTAGGAATTCGATTGCACTGGTAACGTAGCGAGGAAAAGGGATTTTCTAGGAAAAACCACGGATTTTTTATCCACATTTTTTAAGCTAAAGCAAAAAGTTTTTCAGCATTAGATAGCTGGCATTTTTCTGCTCTAGAAAATATCAGAACGAAGTGTTTCGATCGCTTTGTTTCGAAATACGCAATCAACATTTTCAAAAAAGCGCTAATTAGTACGTGTATTTTCTTTACCAATTTTCTGAACAAGGAAAGCTCTTAGAAAAAAAAATATTTTCATCATTAAATCAGTCGTTAGCCAAAATATATATGACGGTCTTCAAATCTCAAAAAAGCGCACTTACGATTTTGAGCCAAATATATATGACGGACAGTCATTTTCCGTTTAGGGTATCACTGTAAAATCACAATGATAGATTTTCATTTGGATACTACTTGTAAAACTTTTGTACAAAACCAGTTAAGATCTGATAATGTAAAAAATATCACGGCGCTTCAATGAGTTGTCGTTCAGACATCTCATACAGAAAGATGATGCTCTAATCGGTATGTCTAGTCAGAATCTTCTAAACAGCCTACTCTATGTTTCTATCTTGTAAATAAATATTAAACATTAACCCTATTTGAGTCTTCTCTGAAAGATGGATTAGACTTGGTAAGAGCTACTCTGAACATCTCTAGCGCATGAAACAAGAAAATCAGCTCTTTGCCTATTGAAGTCACTTAGACAATTAAAGTAGAATATGACCAAAATGAAATAGCACTATATTTTCTCTAACTG